CTTCCTTAATGACGTCCTGGGAGGGGGGGGGAGGAATTACCGCCTTTAAAAATCAAACCCGGTGGGAGACGGATGTGTGTGTGTGTGTGTGTGTATGTGTGTGTGTGTGTGTGTCCGCGCGCACGTGTTGGGGCGTTGGTGAAAGCAATAAAACTCAGATCGCTTCCTCGGAGAGATAGCAATGGCTATAGTGCGCTGGGGGGATCAGGGGTTTATTTGCAGATCCTGGATAAAAGATGATATATCGACACAGTTTAGAGTGTCATTGCGCCTGGCCTCTCAGGAAGCCACAAGTACATATTTCCTGAAATACCAGCCAACACAATATCTAATCCACACGCCACTTAAGCACAGGAGCATCTCACAAGTTCTTGCCTGTCTTCTTATTCTGGGAGAGGGTACCCCAATTGGGAGATACTGTGGTGCCCGGACGCTCTGTCCTCAGCCACTGTCTCCAGACCCAGCAGTCACTTAGCAGTGGTTCTAATAAATACATCTGAGGACTGTCCTTACACCCAGTGAATATTGCATTAGTTTTTCAGTGACCAGGTTCTTAAAAAGGCTCAAGAAATCCACACCAGTTCTCAGCTAAGCCCAACAGTCAATAGGTAAGGAAGTTTATTTCCTTGGTGGGGAAGAGAGCCTTCTATCAACTTATCGAATTCTGCTAAACGTGACAGAGTTGAGAAAGGAAAGGGGGCATATACCTATGTTCAGCACAGGCTGGGCCACTTTGCCCAGGAGGGACATGTGTGCACTCTATATTTTATCACCACAACACACTGCAAAACCTTTTTCTTTAGTATATTTTAGTGTGGCGGGGGGGGAGGGGGGCTGCTTATGAGAAGGTTTAGTCCTGCGAAGAGAGGAGACATACACTCGAAAGGTCTCTGACTGCCCTGAGCTAACCTGGCCAGCTAGGTGAGACGAAAGCCGACCCAAAGTCTGTGCCCTGAGGCCCTCCTGTTCCTGAGTTTCTGAAAAAAGCAACAGAGGGGTTATCGAGAACTAGATAGGAGGTCAGTCGCTCTCTCCTCTGGCATGCAGTGGACTAGTGAAAGAAGTTTCTGAACTGGTTTCCTGTTCTGGGAGAAGTAGCAGCGTCTTTGAACTGAATGGGGCTGTTTGGGAGTGGATAACCAGGGACTCTCTCTGGGTCCAAGTGGTCTCACACCAATTACAGTTCAGAGTGAGCCGGGCCAGGGGGCCAGAGGAGAGTGGCCAGTATGTGCATTTATGACAGCCTCAGACAAGGCTAGGTGCGGGGGGCCTTCATCCAACCTGAAGCCACGGCCTTGGCCCTGGGCACCTCATTTCTGTGCCCACTACAAACTGGTGGCCTCAAAGCAGGCCCGGGTTGGGGAGAAGCTTGGCTGTCTGCTGCCACTCACTGACCGCCCAAGCCCGCAGAGGACGCACAGAAGGTGCCAGGTCTGCAGACCTGAACCAGAGTGCTAGGCCAATTTTGGTGGAGGAGACACAGACAAGAGAGCGATCAGTTCTCTGTGTCACGGGGCCTAGGCAGGGCAGGCGCCCTCTGAAGCCATCAAAGACAGGGGTGGCTTTTTTCCCCTCCTCCAACCTCCTCCCCAATAGATATAGCACGAATTTTTAATGCGTCTTCCTTTCACAGACAACAATACAGGGTTTGAAAGCCTGACACAATTTGGGTTTTGTGCGGGTCCTTCCTCGCGCTCCCTCGGCCCAGCTGGCCATATGGAATCCAGCATGGAGCTCGCGGATGACAAAGGGACCCAGTGACAGGCCCAACAAAACCCCAAGGAGACTTCTGCCTGACTCCGGGATTCACTGCCCGCGATAAGCGCGCTGAATGGTGCGGGCGGAGGGGGAGGGCAGGCGGCCCCTGCTCCGTCTTCCCCTCTCTCAGTCCCCTGCGATCCTTTCTCTGTCCCTCTTTAATATGCACGCCTCTAACATCCCCGGCTCCCAGCTAGCCCATTGTGCCGTTTTGTGCAGCCCTCTGTAGATTGGGCGAAGATAGACTGCTGAGGCGGACTCCGCCGGGCGCTCCCGGGGTGCTGGGGTTAGGGCCCCACAGGGCTCCGCGGGCGCTTTTATTGACTCCATGGCACCCGGGACAGAGCGGCAGGCGGCCGGCCCACCTCTCCGCTCCAGGCAGTGTGAGCGCACACCCAGATGGCAGGCTCTACAGCACCCTAGGGACACAGGCAGGGGAAGCCTGAGAGAATCTGGAGCGACCCATTTCTCTCTGGAGGACTGGGCGTCTCCGCGGTGACTGTAGGCCCGTGGAAATTCTGGGGTCTGCAACAGTCAAAATCAACTGGTTGTGCCTCAGGCCTAGTGACAATTCCACCTGGAGCCTATCCAAACTCCCACCTCTCCTTCCCAGAAGTGAGCGTAGGGTGCTGTGTGCTCAGTACAAGAGCTAGTTGGGCATTAGTCTATTGCACAACAAATGAGAATGGGGGGGGGGGGGGGGAGGATTGGGGAGGGGACTCTACTATTCCACTCTTGGCAAACAGCAAGAAACTGAACACCGCAACAGTCCCAAGTCAGTGTGGGGAACAAAGGGAGACTGCAGCGTTTAAGACAGTCTGCAAGGACCCGGGTAGACCTGGGGATAGGAAAGGACATTTAGGGGGCTATTAGGCAGACACCGCGCCCTCAATTACCCCGGGCGGATGCGCAACGGAGGAATAACGTGTAATCACGTCCCAGGGCGTGTGGCGCTGAGAGCTATTGACGCGCAGATTTGGTCACACGGATAATCATGTTTACTTTAGATATTGAATTAAATCTGATCATCAACTAAAGGGAGCGGTAAAGTCAGCTGGGACCGCTCCTTTCGCTCTGCTGGCTCGCCCCCGCCCTACCCCCACCCTACCCCCCTCCCCGCCCAAGTCCAAGTCAGGAAAAGGCGCGGAGGAGTTGAGAATCCGAGACGCCGTTTCCGAAGGAGCCGACTTTCAGCCCCAGGAGCCTCAGCTTGCCGGCTAGGCGCCGAGGCACGCGGCCCCGGGAGCACTGTCGGGGACCGTGAGCTGGAAGAGAAGGTTGCTCCCCGACTCCTCCTCCCCACTCCCACCTGCACTCCCGTCGGTAAAACCCTTGGAGAAGCTCTCCCGCAGACGCGCGCCACCTACGGTCCCCGACCTTCCTGCCGCATGGGTGGGAGGCATAAGTCCTGTGCCCTTCCGAAGAGAACGCTCTACTCTCCACTCCCCAACCTCCACCCCAAGCCCTTACACCCGGCTTGCTCCCCACGCCTCCTCCCCCCACTGCCCAGAAGGTCGGGCCGGCCACCTACCTCTCAACCCCCTATTCTAGCAAACAACTATTCATCCTCAGGTCAGAGATCTGGCCTGAAGGACCACATAGCCCCAATTCTAGAAGAGGGCGAGGCCCCAGGTCCCTCTGGACGCACGGGGCAGACGCGGCGCGGGAGGAGGAGGGAGTGCGCCCTTGGCAGGACCGGCTACTGGTCGCCGCACCCAAGCGCCCCCATACCCAAGAGCCTGGTGGGAGGAAGCCGCAGCACCCCACCCGTTCCCTGAGCGCCCCCCCCCCCCGTCCGCTCCCGATCTCCCCAAATACCCCAGCTCTCCGGGACCTCCCTCGGATGCCGCCACCCGGCCAGAAGATTTGAGAAGCGGGTGGGGAACCGAGAGCGGCTGCCGGGTGTCCAGCCCCGCGCGCGGCCGCTGCTCGCAGCGAGGGGAGAGTCGTCCAGGGCAGGGCCCTCGGCAGCTTCTCGCCTGAAGGAGCCGCTCGGGGGCGGCGGGAGTCAGGGCTGCCCGCCTCGCTTTGGCTGGTTGTAAAGTCACTTTTCTTCTGAGCCAGAGCGGGGCGGCCTGGTATTCAGATCGGGGCGGGGGGGGTGGGGGGGTTAGTCCCGGGAAGGCAGGAGACCCCGGACTTGGGGTCGCGGGCTCGCGGATCCCTGGACTTGGCGTTCTCGCTCTACGCCAGGGTCCGAGGAACCGAGCCTGTCCCGACAACCCGAAGCGGCCTTCTTGGGACCCCCTCCCCCCACTTCGCCACACACACACACTTCCCTGTCCCGAAGGGATTTGGGGTAAGGGCGCTGCAAATGGCCCGGCCCGGCTCGGTGACCCGAGGTTTCAGGCCTGGCGCAGGGCGACAAAGTAAGACAAACGGGAGGGCTGGGCTGAGTTTTTTTGAAACACAGGATTTTTATTAAAATTCTTATTTTAAAAAAACGGAAAGCTGTCGGCGCCCGGCGCTCCTGAGGGTAACCGCACCAAACCGCTGAGCTCCAAGTTCCGTGGCTCAGGACCCTTCACAGGGTGGGAACGGGGCTGGGCTGGGCTTCTCGCCTACACATTTTCCCTTGCTTGTATTTTCGAAATGTTTGCACTGAACACAATTTAGGGGGCCGGGAAGGAAGAAAGAAAAAGGAAGAAAGAAGGCAGGGGCGACCAAACAGAAGCAAACCAAAACAAACCACAAAGAAAGGAATGGGCTCCAGGGGCCTGGCCCTCCTCAAGGTCATCCTGGCAACAATCATCACCGATATTTACAACGAAAAGAGAAATCTGCCACCGGTTGTCAGAATGTTTACATGGTCATAAATATTTTGCATTTTTATATAAAAAAGGAGAAAAATCCTCTTTTTTTTTAAAGTGTTCTCCACTGCTTTAGAAGAAGACGGCTGACAACATCTACTCACACAAACATATTTTACAAAATTCACAAACGCGGAAGGTGTTGTTGGTGGTGGTGGTGGAAGGGGGATGCGTGCACTCTCTCTTTTATTTCTCAAGTGAGGATGTGAACGTGGCACGATTTGGTCCCGCAAAGGAGAGGCAAAGAAGCGAAGCTGCGCAAACATTCTGTAAACACGGCTTAGAGTTCAGCCCTCCGCAAAGGTTCGGGCGAAGAGAGGCATGGGGACACGGCTGGCTGCGCGAATCAGCCGCTCCACGAGGGCGCAGGTAACCGCCCAGCGCCCTCGACTCCACAATAATTATTTATAATAATATTAATAACCACCACCACCAGGACCGAGTCCTTCTCGCCGCCTGGATCTGGGCCTGGGGCCGCGAGTCTCGGAGGCGGTGCTCACCAAGTCCACTGCTGGGCCTGCACCAAGGGGTGCGCTGTGGGGTACTGGGGGTTGCTGGCCGAGCTGTACTGGGCGTTGTATTGCATGTGCTGCAGCGACTGCGCGCTGTAGGCCGAAAAGGGGAGGCCGGCCTGAAAGGTGGCGGCGGCCAGGTCCTGGGCTTTGAGCGCGTGGCACGGTTTGCCGTCCCTCACCAGCACGGGCACGGCCACCCGGCGCGGCGAGGGCAGGGGTGTCACCTCCATACCTTTCTCGGCCCGCGCGCGCTTCATCTTGTAGCGGTGGTTCTGGAACCAGATCTTGACCTGGGTGGGCGTGAGGCGGATGAGGCTGGCCAGGTGCTCGCGCTCCGGCGCCGACAGGTACCGCTGCTGCCGGAAGCGCCGCTCCAGCTCGTAGGTCTGCGCCTTGGAGAAGAGCACCCGCCGCTTGCGCTTCTTGCCCGCGTCGCCCCCGCCGCCCGGGGTCTCCTTGTCATTGTCCGGGGACTCGTCCGCCGACGGCTCCGGGGACTTGGCGCTGGAGTCCTGGGGCGCTGCGCTGGCCGCCAGCCCGTGAACTGGGAGGGTGGGAGGAGAGAGGGGCGAGTTAGACGCCCGCAGGCCAGGCCGGGCCCTGCGCGCCCCGCCGCGCCGCCGCCGGGCCCCACCGCCTCCGCCTGACCTTCGGCCCTGCTTCACGCCCGACCGAGCAGTCGGCGACCCCCGGGCGGGGGTGGGGAGCGGAGAAGCGGCAGGAGGGCTGGCTCGGGCGCGAGGTTCTAGGGTTCGCGCCGTGTGGGTGCGTGTCGCGGGGAGTGGCGCGCGGATGCTCAGCGCGGGTTAAGGGCTCCGGCCCCCTTAAGCAGTTTCCTCTCCGGAAAGACGTGGGCAGATTTTTAAGAGAAAAAACCCACAATCCCGGCATTGATCGGCTCGGTCATGTAAGGCAGGTTTTTGGGGGCTTTCGTTTTGGCCTTCGGACTTTCTCGACACCCTCCGCAACGCACAAAGCGTCCTCTATGATCGTGCAGGGGGCAGGGTGGCGAGCTATTTATACCCGGGCCCCCGGAGCCACCCCCGCCGCTACCGGTGCCCCGCCGGCCGCTCGCGCCGAGCTGAGGGCCAGTTCCCCCGGCTGTGGCAGAGGAGTGGGGGCTTGTGGTCGGCCAGAGCCTAAGTCCGAGCTGTCATCTGTCACCCTGGGAGGTATTTCTCTTCCCTCCCCCTTTCTCTTAATCTCTTGCATCGGGGAAAAAATAAATCGAGACCGGCCGTTTCCGGGAGTCGGCGGCTGGCGGAGGAGGCCGAGTCGGCGGGACCGTGGGACCCCTTCCCCGCGCGGGCCGGGCCGCGGGCGCTCGGTCCCGTCCCGCCCCCTCCCAGCGCCCGCCGGGCTGGACCGCTGGCGGCGGCCAAAGTTTCGCTACTCACGGGAGTACTGGAGGCCCTCGGTGCTGGCCAGCCAGCGCGTGTAGGGGTTGTCGCTGCTGTCGTAGAAGGGGCTCTTGAGGGGCAGGCTCTGCACCGTGTCCAGGGCGCCCTGCCCCAGCGGCCCAGCCCTCTTGGCGGGCTCCGGCCCCTCACTCTCTTCCTCTGGTCCTTCCGTCACCGAGCCCTCCTCGTCGTTGGTGTCCGGCAGGTCCAAGATGTCCTTGACCGAAAACCCCGTCTTTGTGTTGGTCAGCGACATGGCTCGGGACCCCGCAATTGGCGCCGCAAAGTTGTAGCTTCACTTGGGTCAATTCGTGGCGCTCCCCAATAGGGGCGGGGGAGGGCTGGGGAGGGGGAGGGCTGGGGGAGGGGTCGGTAGGGGCTTTAATGATGGAGATAATTATTGTTTTTTTTTTTTAAAAGAAAGGAAGGAAGAAATTGCGGGAAAGGGGAGAAAAAAAGCCCCACGCGGTACCAGTCTCGCCTCCGCGAGCACGCGGAAACGACGGGAGCGGGGAGCGGGCAGCGCGCGGCGGCCGAGTTGGCAACTCCAGGAGGGGTGCCAAGGCGGCGTCAGCTCGGACTCCGGCGGCCGCTTGGCGCGCAGTGGCGGCTGGTGGCGAGGAAAAAATGGGCCATTGCCCGAGCGATCAGTCCATATAAGGCTGGGCTCCACTCACGAACCTGGGGAGAGGGGGGGACAAGGGGGAAGAGGGAGGGAAAGAGAGGGAGGGAGGGGAAGCGGGAATGGGAGCTAGCGAAGGGTGGAAAAAAAGGGGGGGATATTAAAACGCAAAGGTTGGACACGTGTGGGCGGGTCTTGGGAGTCAAGTGGATGAAGACAGTATTTGCAGATGTGAAATTGTGGGTTTTGGGGAGCTCTGCGCTTCCAGCCAACGGCCCTCTAGAGCAAGATGAGAGGTGTAACGTGTCAATTAATTGCAAAGACGGGGCGAGGTTTTCCCCCCACCCAGTATTTACATACAAAGGACCACCGCGTCGCTCGCGAGTCCACACACTTGAAAGAGCTGTTTTCACAAATTGCATCTTAAAAAAAAAAAAGCAAAGCGGGGGGTGGTGGTGGGGGGGGGAGGAGACAAAACAAAATAGAAAACGGGAAGAAGAAGAAAAAGGAAAAAAATCCCTTCACCGTTCCTACATCCCTGTCCCCACGCGCCCCCCCCCCCCCAGCCCCCAGCACGCAGGAAAATTGGCGATTCGTGGCGCCTTTGGAAAGGGGGTGGGGGTGAGGGCTGCGCGCGGAAATCGCCCCTTCCCATCGCTGGTGGTTCCCTAAACAAGATCCGGTTCAAATGGCAAGAGCCCAACTTCTGTAAGCCTCCTAGGTCAATATTTTGGTTGAGGCTTAAGGATGAGTACTAGAAATGACAAGGCAAGTAATTGATTCTAGTTAACACCGAAAGAGCCGAAACCCAGGAGAGGGATCGGTCTGCGGAGCCACCACCAGGCCACAGCCGCCGCCCCTCCGCCCCCAGTTATTTGCTAAGGACTTATTTATTTCCTTCACCCCGCCTCCCCGGGGGCCCATCCCTAGCCCCAGTTCTCGGGGCCTAGGTGGACAGCGCCCTTCCCTCTCCGCCTAGTGGGAAGTGGACGGAGGAGAGCGGCGGGCGAAGTCTAGCCGGATTCCGACCCGCCGATCCCTGGGCCGCTGCGGGCGTCGGGCTTTAGGCGGAGGGCAGAGAGAGCGCGGGGCCCCGCGACCCCCGGTCTTCCCCCCACTCGGCCCCCAGGCCTCCTCTCGCAGCCGCGGGCAATGGAGCAACCGCGGAAGGGGAGAGGGAGGGGCTGGGGCGGCGGGGGCGCAGTCTCTAACTCGGGGTGAGAACCCCTACAGCTCTGGGAGGGGGGGGCAGAGTTATGCTGTTTTCTCAGCAGTGTTATGCTCCCACGCGAGTCCTGGGGTCGCGTTTCTTTGGACCCCCTTCCCACCCCCCACGTTCCGAGGACGTGCTACTGGCTCCTAATTTGCCTTATGTTAGGGTCAAATTGCCAACCTCTCTCCAGCTCGGGGGTTGAACTTTCTCGGGATGGGGGGCGCTGAGGAGGAAAATTCCACCCACATTTGTCGCCGCTCCTCCTGGTGTGTTACTGGGGGGTGGGGGGAATTTGCTGCATGTGAAGCACCTCGCCCCAGATCGTCAGGTGGGCAGAAGGGGTTCTTGTGGGAGTGGCGGTCTAACCTCCCCACTTCTTTTAACCGGTCGGCGCCGAGCGCCAGGGGCACAGGGCCTTGGAGGGCACAGCTGCGGCCAGCGCAGGGCCGGACACAGCCCTCTCCGAGAACTGCCCGGGCTTTCTCCAGCCCTCGCTGCCTCGCCCCCAGTATGTGACGTGGGTGACAATGGCCCAGGTTAGAGCAAGCCCCTCGCCGGCGCGTCCTGGGTGGTCGGACCCGGGCAAACACAAATACAAACCGATTGCTAAGCTGCGGACAATGAGCGAAATGTAGACAAATGTCCCGCTCCCGTTGGAAGCCTTTGTCCAGGCTCGGTTTTTGCATTTATTTCAGTGGCGAAATAATGCATGATTGACGCTCTCTTTCAATGTGTCCTAACTGTTTGGAATAAATCTAAGGTTGTTCCTAGTTGTCATGGCATTCAACCCTTTTCAATGGACTATCTCTTCATTCATTTCTGAATCCGTCCACAATATTAAGGAAACCCCTTCATGTCGATGCTCCTCATTCCTCTTTCTCCTCCTTTTCCTTTTCTCTCCCCCCCTCCCTTCCCCCCACACCAGGCAAGAATTAGAAGCTGGTTTGAATCATGTTCCTCACACCCATTACTTTTCATGTTCCCCCTTCTCTCTCCAGTCTCTGTCCTTCTCAGCTTCCATCCCTCCTTACCCTCCCCCTTTCACGCGGGAGCTCTCCACCCTGCACTGGCTGTGCAGCAGGCAAGTTGCTTCTCCAGGAGCGGGAGGCGAAGAAGACCCAAAGTTGGGGCGCAGGCAGCGACTAGCCCTGTCCCAGCCATTGTTACTTAGTGCCTAAGTAAATAATTGGCAAGAAAAAGTTCCACAATCCAAGCATTGCAGAAAAGATCTTTCTGTGGTCCCTCCTCATTTCTCTCAAGTGTATGTGGAGAGGGGGTGTCTCTTGGAGACCAGGACAGGCTCCAGCAATGAGGACCAGCCAGAAACAAGTTCGGTGGAGCCAGGCCAGTTCTCAGATTGGGTAGAAAGGGGTCATTTGGCAAGAAGGACCTATTCCTTTATTGCATAGCCTCTAGAGCCAGTTTTTTTTTTTAAATGCTGGGTGTGTGTGTGTGTGTGTGGGGGGGTGCATCTAGACAACCCCTGCAGCTTGATTTCCTTACCTTGGAACCACCTAATTTCATTTGGCTGCCAGCTTCTCCTTGCCTTTCCCCAAGCATTCTCCCAGAAAAGTGGCCTTTGACATCAGTCCCATCCTTTCCCACCCACTATCTGATGGATGAGCAGAGCATCTTAGAAAACTCTTTTCCTAAGGGATTCAGGCTCCTGGGAATTAGTCTTGGGAACAGGGTGCCTGGAAAAGGGAGGTCCTTCTTCCCCAGGGCATGTGTCCCCTGGCATTAAACATCTGGGTGCTTTCCACGCCTCAGAGCGCAGTATCCCTTTCCAGCATATCTTGGGGGGGGGTCACACTTCACCTGCCCACAGGGGGACCACCTGGAATGCCGCCACTCCCTCCTCCATCCTCATCCCAGCTGATGCTGAGTTTTTCCTTTTCTAGGACCTGGGAAAGATAGGCAAGGAAGGAGCAGGAGAAGATCTCTTCCGAGCCCCCAGAGCTGCTCTCTGCACCCCACAGAGCCAGCTTCACTGTGTTCCACGTTGTTCTCCTAGGACCTCAGAGTCCATTTTTCCCTTGGGTTCCTTGCCAGCATAGTTCCCGCGCCCTCGTCCAAAGCGCTGACATTTGCAATTGAAAAGGCACCAGGAGACCGCTGGGAGGCCCATAATTGAAGGGGAGAAACTCTGCTTGTTAGAGGAAGATCATAAAATGCAAGTCCCCTAGGAGTGGCAAGTGGAGACCCGGAGGCCGGTGCGGGACCAGCTGGCAGCCAGCCGGGGCTGAATCCAATACTCAAAGCGTGCTCTGTGGTCTCCCCAATTTCTTGCAACTGTAAGGTGTGTGTGTGTGTGTGTGTGTGTGTGTGTGTGTGTGTGTATGTGTGTGTATGTGTGTGTATGTGTGATGTGCATGCGTGTGTGCATGTACCAGGCACCAAATACTCTTTTACACATAAATTAAACAGTGATTGCTTTCTGAGGACTCCCAAGGGGGTCTTGCTGGGTGCACACTGCCTGGTCCTGCCCAGGATCTTTTGCTGGGTGCCATCCCTCTCGGACTGCATGCAGGCTACAGGGCCCCAGCTCCCGCCATTCTCAGAGGCAGCATCTCCGCCCTGACATTTTGGAACAGATCAATGTCCCCTTATACCGGCCTCAGCTTTACTTGCTTCTGATTTAGTCTCCCTGCTAGGGCTGTGCAGTAAACATTTTTCTAGGTTCCATTTTGCACCCAGGAGATGACAAGGTCCTACTTTCATCGCATTTGGTTTGGGACCTGGGGCTCTGCTACTGCTGCTGCCTGGAAGTCTCTTCAGTGACCGTTGCCCTCCTGCAAACTTGGGGTGACTGGGTGCTGAAATTTGATGCAATGCTGACCACCTAACATCCCTGCAAGAGTCACTGGGCAGCCAATGGCCCACTGTCCTGGCCTTTATTTTCAGCAAGATGTCTAACAGGTCTCTAACTCTATATACCAGCGTCCTCCTTTCTCACAAAAGCGCACAGGCCTAGAAGGGGAAGTGGAGAAGAGGAGGCAGTGACTGTCTCTCCAGATGGCCAGAGGGAATCTCCTCTGTGAGACTCCTCTGGACGCTCAGCCAGGGCTGCCCCGGGTTCCGGAGGGTTTGAAGTGCAGACGGCTGGAGAGGGCAGTGAGGAAGCTGAACAATCACAGAGGCCCAGGAGGGGAGGTGAATGTACACAGGCTAAGTGGCCCCACTCCAGGACAAGTGGCCCTCCAAGTTGGCCCAGTGTTTACCTGTTTACTTTCCCAGGTATCTCAAACACGAGCGCCTTTTCTGGGCCGGGGCCACCCATCAAGAGCACCAGCGTTCCTCGCTTCTCCACGCCGCTCTAGGGCTTTCGGCCCTAGGCTGGGGGAGGGGCAAGCAAGGCTAGGAAGAAAGGGACTTTGGGGAAGTGAGAGGATTTTATACACTCTGGCCTGGGAGCCCGTCTGGGCACTCGTCCAGGAAAGAGGCATGGAGGGGTGCCACACGGTGGCCCCTCTCCCCTCTCAGCACTGGTTTCCAGGATCTTTTCGCCCTCCCCACTTCAGCTTTGGGAATGCTGGCTGCAGTAGGGAAAGCCTCCAGGGAAATAAGGCACAACAAATGCTGGTGCGGGCACCTTGGGGGTCCATCCCAAAGAGGGAGTAGCCTTGAGGAATTCAAAGCACCTCCATAGCTCAAGGCAGCACCTCTTGCCCTCCACACTCACAAAAACATGTCCAGTCTTCCCCTTTATTTGGCAACACTTATTTGTATGACTTCATTTCTTTAAAAAAATTTTTTTAAAAGATCCTTTTCTTTGAGTGAGAAGAAATTGAAAAAAAATTCTCTCCCAGGACAGTATGTGGCTAAGCTCTCAGGACGGCCTGGGCTACA